GTGGAGCTCGTCCATCTCTTTATACAACCAACTTACTTCATTGCTCATAGGAATAGGATAGGATGGGATAAAATCACAGCCAGATGCTGCCATGCACAAAACAGATAAATGAGCTTCACTTGTGACCCTCTTCCCTTAAACAATTTGCCACTAACGCATGTCAGCTCCGTGTTCAAACTTTGTGGACCCTTGACCATTACACCTTGTGACAGGAGTCACTTTAAATGGGGGGGCCCATGGAACCCAGCTTACTTTGGAGAGGTGGGGAGACCCATCTCAGCTCCCCATATCCCTATTCTGTGTAAGTCACCCAGTGCCTGTTAGGGGTACAGGGTGATCTGTCCTAATATTGTGTAGACATGTCTAGGAGATAGGAGGGGTGGAGGTTGTAGATTGTTAGGTGTTGTGTGCCTGCATCCCATTGTTCCATTGTTTGTCTTGCTTGGGAGTAAACTATTATGGGATGTATGTTTTTATGTGTATTAGCTTAGTAGGGGGGTTGTCTCCAGCAGCCCTTCCTCCTGATGGACTGTCTGCTGGTGTGAAGTTTGAATACCTCTGTGTCTCTTGTTACTAAGTGTAGATTGTCCCGCCCTGTGTCATTATGTGTCACTCCCCTGAGTGTATATATCTTGTATCTGTGTTAAAATAAACTAGTCTACCTCCTGGTTTACTTCAAGACTGGTGTCGTCTTGTCATGTATGGTCGGCTGTGGTGTCTGTTGGCGGTGTTTGTTCAGGGAAGCAGTAGTCTAACGGAAGTACCCAAGTGCAGTCTGGGGTCGGTTACACACCTGTATGAGAGTGTTGGACATCCTATTCCAAAACTATGGCTGTTAATATGGAGTTGGCCTCCTTTTGTGGATAAAACATACTTCACTTTTCTGGGCAGGCTTTCCACAAGATTTTGGAATGGATTTGTGGGAATCGATTAACAATTGTGAGATCAGGTACTGCTATTAGGTGGAAAGCGGCATTCCAATTCATCTCAAAAGGTGCTCCACAGGGTTTGAAGACATCATATTCCAATGGTCCAACAGTCCAGATGAAGTGCATTCCACTGAAGTCTCCTCAGATCTGTGCAGCTTGCCCATCTGGTTATACAACTAACCCACCTCAGGTATTTATTATAGAAAGTGGGGAAAGTTAGGGGAATAGCACAACCAGATGCAGCCATACACACAAATTGTTTCTGTGGGAATCTGCACCCATTTGTGAGGTCAGCCATTGATGCTGGCTGGAAAATGGCATTCTAGTTCATCTCAAAGGTGTTCCATAGGATTGCATTCATCATATTCCAATGGCACATCAATCCGGATGAAGTGGGTTCCACTGAAGTCTTCTCAGATCTGTGGAGCTTGCCCATATTGTTATACAACCAACCTACCTCAGGCATTGCTCATAGGAAGGAAGGAATAAATGAACATCAGAACCAGATGCTGCCAGGGGGCAGGATGATGCTGTAACAGTCAACTCATCCAGGAAAGCTATCCACAAGATTTTGGAGGATGTCTGTGAGGTCAGGTACTGATGTTGGCGGGCAAAATGGCATGCCAGTTCATCTCAAAAGGTATTTCGTAGGACTGACATCATCATATTCCAATGGTCCATCATTCCAGAAGAAGTGTGTTCCACTGAAGTATCCTGAGATCTGTGGTGCTCATCCATCTCGTTATACAGCCAACCAACCTACCTCAGTCATTGCTCATAGGAAGAGGGGAGTGTTAGCCAAATACCAGATGCTGCCATATACAAAACTGTTAAAAAAGGAGCTGCGCCTGGTAACTCCCTCTACAAAAAGTAATTTCTACTAATGCATTGGGTAGCAATTCCACCCTTCTAACCCAGTGGTGTATTTAGGTTTTGTGCTGCCCTAAGCAACACAAAAATCGTCTGCCGCCACGGACACCGACCTACAAACCCCCCCCCCTTCCCCCTCCCACGGAGAGAGAATGACATTGGCCAACACCCATGCCCTCCCCCACCCAGGAGCGCCTGCCATCTGCCCCGGCGATCGAGAGACACTCATCTTCACAGCTCCGGACATCCCCAGGAGCAAGAGCCAGGCTCTACATACAGTCAGGTCCATAAATATTGGGACATCGACACAATTCTAACATTTTTGGCTCTATACACGATCACAATGGATTTGAAATGAAACTAACAAGATGTGCTTTAACTGCAGACTGTCAGCTTTAATTTGAGGGTACTTACATCCAAATCAGGTGAACGGTGTAAGAATTACAACAGTTTGCATATGTGTCTCCAACTTGTTAAGGGACCAAAAGTAATGGGACAGAATAATAATCATAAATCAAACTTTCACTTTTTAATACTTGGTTGCAAATCCTTTGCAGTCAATAACAGCCTGAAGTCTGGAACGCATAGACATCACCAGACGCTGGGTTTCCTCCCTGGTGATGCTCTGCCAGGCCTCTACTGCAACTGTCTTCAGTTCCTGCTTGTTCTTGGGGCATTTTCCCTTCAGTTTTGTCTTCAGCAAGTGAAATGCTCAATCGGGTTCAGGTCAGGTGATTGACTTGGCCATTGCATAACATTCCACTTCTTTCCCTTAAAAAACTCTTTGGTTGCTTTTGCAGTATGCTTTGGGTCATTGTCCATCTGCACTGTGAAGCGTCCAATGAGTTCTGAAGCATTTGGCTGAATATGAGCCGATAATATTCCCGAAACACTTCAGAATTCATCCGGCTGCTTCTGTCAGCAGTCACATCATCAATAAATACAAGAGAACCAGTTCCATTGGCAGCCATACATGCCCACGCCATGACACTACCACCACCATGCTTCACTGATGAGGTGGTATGCTTAGGATCATGAGCAGTTCCTTCTCCATACTCTTCTCTTCCCATCACTCTGGTACAAGTTGATGTCGGTCTCATCTGTCCATAGGATGTTGTTCCAGAACTGTGAAGGCTTTTTTACATGTCGTTTGGCAAACTCTAATCTGGCCTTCCTGTTTTTGAGGCTCACCAATGGTTTCCATCTTGTGGTGAACCCTCTGTATTCACTCTGGTGAAGTCTTCTCTTGATTGGTGACTTTGACACACATACACCTACCTCCTGGAGAGTGTTCTTGATCTGGCCAACTGTTGTGAAGGGTGTTTTCTTCACCAGGGAAAGAATTCTTCGGTCATCCACCACAGTTGTGTTCCGTGGTCTTCCGGGTCTTTTGGTGTTGCTGAGCTCACTGGTGCGTTCCTTCTTTTTAAGAATGTTCCAAACAGTTGTTTTGGCCACGCCTAATGTTTTTGCTATCTCTCTGATGGGTTTGTTTTGTTTTTTCAGCCTAATGATGGCTTCACGGATAGTGACAGCTCTTTGGATCTCATCTTGAGAGTTGACAGCAACAGATTCCAAATGCAAATAGCACACTTGAAATGAACTCTGGACCTTTTATCTGCTCATTGTAATTGGGATAATGAGGGAATAACACACACCTGGCCATGGAACAGCTGAAAATCCAATTGTCCCATTACTTTTGGTCCCTTAACAAGTGGGAGGCACATATGCAAACTGTTGTAATTCCTACACCGTTCACCTGATTTGGATGTAAATACCCTCAAATTAAAGCTGACAGTCTGCAGTTAAAGCACATCTTGTTTGTTTCATTTCAAATCCATTGTGGTGGTGTATAGAGCCAAAAATGTTAGAATTGTGTCGATGTCCCAATATTTATGGACCTGACTGTACACCATCAAGCAGCCTGGAACCTCTCTCGGATCCCACCTGGTTCCCATGGTGCACGTGTCCCATCTTTCATCCCTTCTTCTGGGGGGAAGTGCTGCCCACCTTGAAAAATGCCACCCTAGGCAAGTGCCTTGTTTGCCTTGTGGTAAATATGCCCCTGCTTCTGCCCCTTTTGAAACAATCAAGCCAAGAAAGTACTAAATTCAAAATAACTGTGACGGGAGTGACTTTGGGTGGGGGGTCCATGGAACACAGCCTCCTTTGGAGAGGTGGGGAGACCCGTCTCCGCTCCCCATATTCCCATTATGTGTGAGTCACCCTGTGCCTGTTAGGGGTATAGGGTGGAATGTCCTAGTATTGTGTGGACATGTATAGGTGGGGTGTGTGGGTTGTTCATTGTTTACTGCCACGTGGTCCCATTGTTCTATTGTGTCTTGCTTGCCAGCAAACTATTATGGGATGTATGTGTTCCTGTATTGTCTACTGCCACATGGCGTATACCATTGTTCTATTGTGTGTCTTGGTTTGGTGGGGGGTTTTTCCAGCGGCCCTTCCCCCTGATGGGACGGCCTGCTGATGTGTTTCCTGTTCCTGGTTGTATTTCCCCGCCCTGTGTATATATCTTGTGTTTGTGTTAAAATAAAGCAGTTCACTTCCTGTCTGAAGAAGCCTGGTGCTGTCTCGTCCTGTATGGTCAGCGGTGGTGTCCGTGGATCTGTGTTTGGACAGGGAAGCGGGAGTCTAACGGAAATACCCTACCGCAGTCGGGGTTCGGGTCCGTTACAATAACCAACACCAAAATAACTGTCTATGGGTAATGCAGAAATCACATTAAATATTGCGACAAAAATCTACACCCAAACGTCAGCAACAAAATTGAACGGATCCAACGCGGCTGTGCTTGGAGAAGTGTCTGGGGAGGGGTGTTGTGAACGGGAGGTATATTTTCCAAACAAGAACATTTTATTGAAAATTTGTAATTACGTGTTACTCAGGGAGGGAGTAAGGGAACAAGGGAAGGAATTACATTCCAACATTGCACTTCGGTCTTAAGAACATTTTAAATTAAATCTATTTTAAACAATATTAAAAATAGAAAAAAATAACTTTGCGCTATATTCTTAGAAAAATACACTGTGTTATAAATACATGTACAACCTACACACAAATAAATAATTAGAAACACATCGATCACACGGATACAAGCAGACAAACGTTGTGCGGAGTTCTATATTCACATAAGAGGGATTAAGGCGAATTGCGGTGAGGATGAAGTGCGGGAATCCACTGCGGTCAGTTCCAGGGAGTTTTCCTGCCCAGGATGTGGTTGGTCACTTTCTACAACAGAAGATAGAAAAATAAAAGATAACACGACACGACAACAGCCCCATCCATCTCCTTCTATTCGAGGATCTGGAGGACTTTTCAGAGTTCCATATTCTACTCTTTGATGTATTGCGCCTTTAACCCCTTACCTCCGCTATATGTATATTAACTACTTCCCACCCGGCCTATACTAAAATGAAGATTGGGCGAACCTCTCGTCCCTCTGGTAGGGAGTCATATGACGTCCTTCCCGGAAGGCACTTTGCGCTTGCCCGCAGAGCCGCGATCTGGCGAGATCTGTCACCAGCTGTGTACCTCGGACACGGCCGATGACAGATCTATGTACCGGCCCCATTGCCAGTATTATGTGATATGCTGTGACCAATCACAGCAGGTCATATGACAGTTGTATACAATGGATGGCTTCCTTTCATGCCATCCATTGTATACAAATGTGTCTAGCTGTGAATGGTCAAAGTCATCACATGCATAGGCTGGGCCAATCACAGCCCATCTGTGTCATGTGATTAGCCGTGGCCAATCACAGCTAATCACAACAAAAAAACTTGAATGAATCGATTTCATTCAGTTAAATGCTTCCTTATAGCAAATTATTTATTTCAGGTACTTATATAGCGCCGTCAATTTACACAGCGCTTTACATATATATTGTACATTCACATCAGTCCCTAACCCTCAAGGAGCGTACAATCTAAGGTCCCTAGCTCACATTCATATACAAGGGCCAATTTACACAGGATCCAATCAACCTACCAGCATGTCTTTGGAGTGTAGGAGGAAACCAGAGTACCCGGAGAAAAACCACACTGGCACAGGGAGAACATGCAAACTCCAGGCAGGAGGTCACGTGGCTGGGATTCGAACCAACGACCTGAGTACTGCCAGGCGAAAGTGCTAACCATTTAGCCACTGTGCTGCACTTTGCTATAAGCCAGGGGTGGGCAACTGTGGGCCTCCAGCTGTTGGCGAACTACAGGTCCCATCATCATGCCTCTGTCTTTGGGAGTCATGCTTGTAACTGTCAGTTTTGCAATGCCTCATGGGACTTGTAGTTCTACAACAGCTGGAGGGCCACAGTTGCCCACCCCTGCTATAAGCAATCAAATTGTGTAAAAAAAAGAAAAAATACCGATCAATTCCCCAAAGTAGTACAATGTTACTATGGTAACATTATACTACTTTAGTCATAGTGTAATATGAAAAAAAAATCTTAAAAAAATAAAAAAATGTAATAAAAAAAAAAATGAAAAAAAAATATCAGGTTTTTTTTTTTTCATACTGTCACCAGTCAGTGTCCCTGATCACCACCACACCAGTTGTATGATGACGCTGTACTGCACTGGTGACAATATGTACAAAAAAAAAAAATTTTTTTTTTTTCCGTTTCTTCATTTTCTAAAAAAATATGACAAAAAAATTACAACTGAAAAAAACTCGCCATGCCTGTTATGAAATACATAAATAAATATAAATAAAATATAAAAATATAGTATGACTGTCTACTTTTCAAAAGGGGTCATTTGGGGGATATCTGTACTGTCCTGACATTTGAGGGATATCTGTACTGTCCTGACATTTGGGGGATATCTGTACCGTCCTGACATTTGGGGGATATCTGTACCGTCCTGACATTTGGGGGATATCTGTACCGTCCTGACATTTGGGGGATATCTGTACCGTCCTGACATTTGGGGGATATATGTACCGTCCTGACATTTGGAGGATATCTGTACTGTCCTGACATTTGGGGATATCTGTACTGTCCTGACATTTGGGGGATATCTGTACCGTTCTGACATTTGGGGGATATCTGTACTGTCCTGACATTTGGGGGATATCTGTACTGTCCTGACATTTGGGGGATATCTGTACTGTCCTGACATTTGGGGGATATCTGTACTGTCCTGACATTTGGGGGATATCTGTACTGTCCTGACATTTTTGGACCTCAAGAAATTAGGTTGATCGATTTTCAGATATCGCCCATAGTTTGTGAACTCTATAACTTTCCTACAGACTAAATAATAAACACTAATTTGGGTTATTTTCACCAAAGACATGTAGCAGAATACATCTCGGCCTAAATTTATGAAGAACAATTATTTAATTGCAAACTTTTATAACAGCAACAAAGAAACATGTTTTTTTTTTTAATTTTCGTTTTTTTTTTGTTAATTTAACAAAAAATAAAAACCCCAGTGGTGATTAAATACCACCAAAAGAAAGCTCTAGGTGTGTGAACAAAATTATAACATTTTAGTCTGGGTACAGTGTTGCATGATCGCGCAATTGTCATTCAAAGTGTGACAGCGCTGAAAGCTGAAAATTGGCCTGGGCAGGAAGGGGGTGAAAGTGTCCGGACTGGAAGGGGGTGAAAGCGTCCGGACTGGAAGGGGGTGAAAGCGTCCGGACTGGAAGGGGGGGAAAGCGTCCGGACTGGAAGGGGGTGAAAGCGTCCGGACCGGAAGGGGGGGAAAGCGTCCGGCCCGGAAGGGGGGGGAAAGCGTCCGGCCCGGAAGGGGGGGAAAGCGTCCGGACCGGAAGGGGGGGAAAGCGTCCGGACCGGAAGGGGGGGAAAGCGTCCGGACCGGAAGGGGGGGAAAGCGTCCGGACCGGAAGGGGGGGAAAGCGTCCGGACCGGAAGGGGGGGAAAGCGTCCGGACCGGAAGGGGGGGAAAGCGTCCGGACCGGAAGGGGGGGAAAGCGTCCGGACCCGGAAGGGGGGGAAAGCGTCGGGACCGGAAGGGGGGGAAAGCGTCGGGACCGGAAGGGGGGGAAAGCGTCGGGACTGGAAGGAGGTGAAAGCGTCCGGACTGGTAGGGGGGGAAAGCGTCCGGACTGGAAGGAGGTGAAAGCGTCCGGACTGGAAGGGGGGGAAAGTGTCCGGACTGGAAGGGGGGGAAAGTGTCCGGACTGGAAGGAGGTGAAAGTGTCCGGACTGGAAGGGGGTGAAAGTGTCCGGACTGGAAGGGGGGGAAAGTGTCCGGACTGGAAGGGGGTGAAAGTGTCCGGACTGGAAGGGGGTGGAAGTGTCCGGACTGGAAGGGGGGGAAAGTGTCCGGACTGGAAGGGGGTGAAAGTGTCCGGACTGGAAGGGGGTGAAAGTGTCCGGACTGGAAGGGGGTGAAAGTGTCCGGACTGGAAGGGGGTGAAAGTGTCCGGACTGGAAGGGGGTGGAAAGTGTCCGGACTGGAAGAGGGGGGGGTGTCCGGGGGGGGAAGGGGGGGGGGGGGGGGGGGGGGGGGGGGGGGGTTGGGGTGTCCGGACTGGAAGGGGGGGGGGGGGGGGGGGGGGGGGGGAAGTGTCCGGACTGGAAGGGGTTAATGAAGGCGACATCTCAGGCAGCCAACACGTATCATCTCATAGTGCGGCTACAACAATCAGATGAAATGTGAGTAGATGCCACTTGGAAACGTTACAACCCATCAATGTTTCTACTACATGGGCAGCACAGAGATTAGCACTTCAGGACTAGGGTTGTCAGTTCAAATCCCAACTGCAACATTATTTGCCTGGAGTTTGCATGTTCTCCCTGTGCCTGTGTGGGTTTCTTCCAGGTTCTCCAGTTTCCTCCCACACTACAAAGACATGCTGGTAGGTTAACTCTAGCTTGCCTAAATTGTCCCTAGTATGTGTATGTATGAATGCGTTAGGGACCTTAGATTGTACGCTCCTCGGGGGCGGGGACTGATGTGAATGTACAATATATATGTAAAGTGCTGTGTAAATTGACGGCGCTATATAAGTACCTGAAATAATAAATAATAGATGCCTAAGGAGAGGAGGTGCCTCTGCCGTTTATGTGTATTACATGTTACTGGAACAGACCTTTCGGAAGAGCTGAGCTTTCAGCCGGTACGTTTCATACTCGGACTTCCTCTTCTCCTCCTCCTTCCTCTTCTTTATTTCGGGAAGCTGCTCGTATAGCCTGAAAAATAGATAGAGGAGAGTGAGCGCATGACAAGAAACAACAATCCGCAGCCAAACGAGCCACTGAAAATACAGGAGGTGACCTTATCACACAAAATCTACTGCAGATCTGTAAAACTGGCATTTATGGACTCCATGGGGTTGGTTTACAAAAGGAAAATAGACTGTGCACTTTGAAAAGTGCAGGTAAAGGCGCTGTGCTGATCGCATGCACTATCCCAAGAAAAACAAACTCCCTAGCAATACACACCAAGCAGAGCATGTGTAGAGTGCATCCAAGTCTCTGTTGCACTCTGCAAGTGCAGGTAAAGCTTCACTTTGCAAAGAATACCCAATCACAAGCAAGGAAAAAAAAAAAAACCCCCAGAGTTATTGCTCGCACATGATTGGATGATGAAGGTCAGCAGAGCTTCCCATCATTTACTAAGCTCTGGAGCACCTGCAATTGCAGAGTACACAGTCTATTTGCCTTTAGTAAATCAACTCCCATGTGTCTTCTCTTGGTTCTTCTTTGTGCTCTTTGGCTTGTTCAGTGATTTAAAGCAATTCCCCAGTTGTTGGCAGACATCTTTACATAATTTTGCAGCTCAAAATGTTTCTAAACCCCGGACCCCGCATTCACTATATCCGCTCTCCCCGGACCCTGCATTCACTATATCTGGTCTCCCCAGACCCTGAATTCACTATATCTGGTCTCCCCGGACCCTGCATTCACTATATCCGCTCTCCCCGGACCCTGCATTCACTATATCCGCTCTCCCCGGACCCTGCATTCACTATATCCGCTCTCCCCGGACCCCGCATTCACTATATCCGCTCTCCCCGGACCCCGCATTCACTATATCCGCTCTCCCCGGACCCCGCATTCACTATATCCGCTCTCCCCGGACCCCGCAGTCACTATATCCGCTCTCCCCGGACCCCGCATTCACTATATCCGCTCTCCCCGGACCCCGCAGTCACTATATCCGGTCTCCCCGGACCCCACATTCACTATATCCGCTCTCCCCGGACCCCGCAGTAACTATATCCGCTCTCCCCAGACCCTGCATTCACTATATCCGCTCTCCCCGGACCCCGCATTCACTATATCCAGTCTCCCCGGACCCCGCATTCACTATATCTAGTCTCCCCGGATCCCGCAGTCACTATATCTGCTCTCCCCGGACCCTGCATTCACTATATCCGCTCTCCCCGGACCCCGCATTCACTATATCCGCTCTCCCCGGACCCCGCATTCACTATATCCGCTCTCCCCGGACCCCGCATTCACTATATCCACTCTCCCCGGACTCTGCATTCACTATATCCGCTCTCCCCGGACCCCGCAGTCACTATATCCGCTCTCCCCGGACCCCGCAGTCACTATATCCGGTCTCCCCGGACCCCGCAGTCACTATATCCGCTCTCCCCCGGACCCCGCATTCACTATATCCGCTCTCCCCCGGACCCCGCAGTCACTATATCCGCTCTCCCCGGACCCCGCATTCACTATATCCACTCTCCCCGGACCCCGCAGTCACTATATCCGCTCTCCCCGGACCCCGCATTCACTATATCTGGTCTCCCCGGACCCCACATTCACTATATCCGCTCTCCCCGGACCCCGCAGTCACTATATCCGCTCTCCCCAGACCCTGCATTCACTATATCCGCTCTCCCCGGACCCCGCATTCACTATATCTAGTCTCCCCGGACCCCGCATTCACTATATCTGGTCTCCCCGGACCCCGCAGTCACTATATTTGCTCTCCCTGGACCCCGCATTCACTATATCTGCTCTCCCTGGACCCCGCATTCACTATATCCGCTCTCCGGACCCCGCATTCACTATATCCGGTCTCCCCGGACCCCGCAGTCACTATATCTGGTCTCCCCGGACCCCGCATTCACTATATCCGATCTCCCCGGACCCTGCATTCACTATATCTGGTCTCCCCGGACCCTGCATTCACTATATCCGCTCTCCCCGGACCCTGCATTCACTATATCCGCTCTCCCCGGACCCTGCATTCACTATATCCGCTCTCCCCGGACCCTGCATTCACTATATCCGCTCTCCCCGGACCCCGCATTCACTATATCCGCTCTCCCCCGGACCCTGCATTCACTATATCTGGTCTCCCCCGGGCCCTGCATTCACTATATCTGCTCTCCCTGGACCCTGCATTCACTATATCCGCTCTCTCCGGACCCCGCATTCACTATATCCGGTCTCCCCGGACCCCGCAGTCACTATATCTGGTCTCCCCGGACCCCGCATTCACTATATCCGATCTCCCCGGACCCTGCATTCACTATATCCGCTCTCCCCCCCGGACCCCGCATTCACTATATCCGCTCTCCCCGGACCCCGCATTCACTATATCCGCTCTCCCCCGGACCCCGCATTCACTATATCCGCTCTCCCCGGACCCCGCATTCACTATATCCGCTCTCCCCGGACCCCGCATTCACTATATCCGCTCTCCCAGGACCCTGCATTCACTATATCCGCTCTCCCCGGACCCTGCATTCACTATATCCGCTCTCCCCGGACCCCGCATTCACTATATCGCTCTCCCCGGACCCCGCATTCACTATATCCGCTCTCCCCGGACCCCGCATTCACTATATCCGCTCTCCCCGGACCCCCCCCGGACCCTGCATTCACTATATCCGCTCTCCCCGGACTCTGCATTCACTATATCCGCTCTCCCCGGACCCCGCAGTCACTATATCCGCTCTCCCCGGAACCCGCATTCACTATATCCGCTCTCCCCGGACCCCGCATTCACTATATCCGCTCTCCCCGGACCCCGCATTCACTATATCCGCTCTCCCCGGACCCCGCATTCACTATATCCGCTCTCCCCGGACCCCGCATTCACTATATCCGCTCTCCCCGGACCCCGCAGTCACTATATCCGGTCTCCCCGGACCCCGCAGTCACTATATCCGGTCTCCCCGGACCCCGCATTCACTATATCCGCTCTCCCCGGACCCCGCAGTCACTATATCCGCTCTCCCCGGACCCCGCATTCACTATATCCACTCTCCCCGGACCCCGCAGTCACTATATCCGCTCTCCCCGGACCCCGCATTCACTATATCTGGTCTCCCCGGACCCCACATTCACTATATCCGCTCTCCCCGGACCCCGCAGTCACTATATCCGCTCTCCCCAGACCCCGCATTCACTATATCCGCTCTCCCCGGACCCCGCATTCACTATATCTAGTCTCCCCGGACCCCGCATTCACTATATCTGGTCTCCCCGGACCCCCGCAGTCACTATATTGCTCTCCCCGGACCCCGCATTCACTATATCTGCTCTCCCTGGACCCCGCATTCACTATATCCGGTCTCCCCGGACCCCGCAGTCACTATATCTGGTCTCCCCGGACCCCGCATTCACTATATCCGATCTCCCCGGACCCTGCATTCACTATATCTGGTCTCCCCGGACCCTGCATTCACTATATCCGCTCTCCCCGGACCCTGCATTCACTATATCCGCTCTCCCAGGACCCTGCATTCACTATATCCGCTCTCCCCCGGACCCCGCATTCACTATATCCGCTCTCCCCGGACCCTGCATTCACTATATCTGGTCTCCCCGGGCCCTGCATTCACTATATCTGCTCTCCCTGGACCCTGCATTCACTATATCCGCTCTCTCCGGACCCCGCATTCACTATATCCGGTCTCCCCGGACCCCGCAGTCACTATATCTGGTCTCCCCCCGGACCCCGCATTCACTATATCCGATCTCCCCGGACCCTGCATTCACTATATCTGGTCTCCCCGGACCCTGCATTCACTATATCCGCTCTCCCCAGACCCTGCATTCACTATATCCGCTCTCCCCGGACCCTGCATTCACTATATCCGCTCTCCCCGGACCCCCGCATTCACTATATCCGGTCTCCCCGGACCCTGCATTCACTATATCCGCTCTCCCCCGGACCCTGCATTCACTATATCCGCTCTCCCCGGACCCCGCTTTCACTATATCCACCCTGTTGCTACCACCCCCCCCTTTGCCATGTCTGTCATGACGCCCCCCCCCCCCCCAGTCTCAAGGGAGTGCTAGCTGCTACTGCACCTTCTGCTGTGAGCCCTGTGTACGAGGTGGTATCAAAAAGTTTCAAGACTAGCATTGTAACACACCAACAGATGGCAGCACAAGGCTGCACGCACAGTCACACGGTGCACTGACCTTCATAAGTCAGTGTACCAAAAGACATCGTCGTGTGTACATCGGGAGCTGTGCAACTGGCGCTATTCTGACCACATGTGTTACCACGTCTGCTATAGCAAGTTAGAACAAAGAGCAAACGTGAAATTCTGTGTGACTTTACAATCGATGACATTGTTGTGGTCATGTAATCTCCGAGGTGGTAGATTTGTTAGTTTCCGGTGTCTGTTCGGTTCTGCTCACCTCTTGGATCTCTGCACCATCTCTCTCTTGGGGATGCTTTTCATCTTCTGGGATGTTCTGGATTCTAAATGAAGAAAACCTAGTCAGAAATAGCCCAGGACAAGAGCTCACACCACCTATACATACCTGAAGGGTCGTCGGTGGGGGGGGGCTCTATCAGTGACATATCCCTACCAGAATTCCCAGCTTTGTTCCTGTTGACCTGGGAGCATTGAGTGTTCCCGCCCAGCTTTGTGTGTCCCAGCTCCTCCCACCAAAGGTGGTGGGAGCCCCTCATACTGGGCACAGCAGGTGTACAGACCCGGGAACTCACCACAGGGATGGTGGGAACCCCTCATAATGGGCACAGCAGGCGTACAATGCCAGGAACTCGGCACAGGGATGGTGGAAATGCCTCATAATGGGCACAGCAGGTGTGTACACCTTGGATTTTAGTGCAGGGATAGTGGGAACCCCTCATAATGGGCATAGCGGGTGTACAGACCGGGAACTCAGCACAGGGATGGTGGGAACCCCTCATAATGGGCACAGCATGTGTAAAGACCAGAGAAATCAGGACAGGGATGGTGGGAACCCCTGATAAGCAGCACAGAAGATGTACAGACCCGGGAACTCAGCACAGGGATGGGGGGAACCCCTCACAATGGGCACAGCGGGTGTAGAGACCCAGGAACTCAGCACAGGCATGATGGGAACCCCTCGTAATGGGCACAGCGGGTGTACAGACCCAGGAACTCAGCACAGGGATGATGGGAACCCCTCGTAATGGGCACAGCAGGTGTACAGACCTGGGAACTCAGCACAGGGATGACAGTATGTAAAAAAAAAAACCCAATTAATAGTATAAAAAAAAAAAATAAAAATGTAAAAAGATTTTTTTTTTAATTATAATTTTGGGTTATAAACTAAATTGGTTATTTGGTGACACTGTACTACTTGTGGGGGGTGATGAAGGTTTTTTTTTTTACATGGATTGCTTTTACACCCATAAAGACTGTAAAAGCAATCATTTCTCTTTCTCTCTGGCTGCATTCTTGCAGTCATTCAGAAATACTGAGAGCTGTGATTGGTCACAGCTTGTCACATGATACAAGGCTGTTGTGAATAGCCCTGTACCATGTGACCTCGGTGATCATTCACAGATTTCTTACGTAGTAAGCAATGATATCAGAAGTGACATCTTGCTTACTACTCTGCATGTGATCACTGATTGGCCAATCAGTGATCACATGATCGGGACCTCGCACAGAGGTCCCATACGACAATCGGTGTTCCACTGTGTCTGGAGGACACAGCGGGCACTGGATCACAGTGCTGCGTGCTCCCAGGAAGCGCACAAGCAGGGGGCGGTGAGGCAGTTTATAAAGGTCCACCCGACCCTGCACTGCCGCCGTCCGGCCGTTTATATACAATTATTAAAGGCTGTAAAAGCAATCAATTCTCTTTCTCTTTGGCAGCATTCTTGCAGCCATTGAGAACTACTGTGAGAGCTGTGATTGGTCACAGCTTGTCACATGGTACAAGGCAGTTGTGAATAGCCCTGTACCGTGTGATCTCTGTGATCATTCACAGATTTCACATGTAGTAAGCAATGTCGTCAGAAGTGACATCTTGCTTACTACTCTGCATGTGATCACTGATTGGCCAATCAGTGATCACATGATCAGGACCTCGCACAGAGGTCCCGTACGAGGATCGGAGTTCCACTGTGTCTGGGAGACACAGCGGGCACCGGATCGCGGTGCTACGCGCTCCCAGGGAGCGCGCACAAGCAGGGGGCGTGGAGGCTGTTTATAAACGTCCACCCGCCCCTGCACTGCCACCCTCCGGCCGTTTGTATACAACTGCTGGATGGGAAGGGGTTAATGTAGCTGGAATGCATTTAGCTGATTTTAGATAGAAGTGTAATTGGGCTTTAACTACATACAGTTGTCAGAATATATTATTCTTTCCATGATTTGCTTTCAATAACACGGTACAAGCAGGATCCCTATGAGGCTGACATTTGTAGACTTGGATTATCAGCCATGACATGTCAGCTACAACCCTGTGGTCACCTTTATATGAAGTGTGGTGGGGGGGCCTCCCTCTTCTGTCCGGCTGGTTGAAGAGTTCCTCTCTCTCGCTCTGGAAGATGCTCTGCAGTTTCCTCTCCTTGGTGAGCAGCTGTAAACGTTTCACCCTCTCCCCCGATTGGAAGATGAAATCTGGCCGGTGCGCCTTCAGTAACTCCTGACACAAGAAAGCCACAGAGACGGCCAAGTGAGCTTTTCAGGACAGCAAAAAGCATTGCAAGGTTGAATATGCAGACCAAGACTAAGCTCAAACATGTATGCCTGGTATCAGTCACCTCGTGCCAATGGCCAGGTCTTGGAGGCCAGTGCTGGAAGTAATGTGGACAAAGCCCTCACCTGCAGGGTGGCCCTGACAAACGGTTGCACCGTTTTATTATCTTTGCCAAGCTCTGAACCGTTGATCAGGCTCTCCCCTCTCCTGATGGCCGGGCCCTGTTGGTTTCTCTCTCGCAGGGGTTCTCTCCATGGTTTGGCGTTTGTCACGGACTCGTACCAGGCAGGGCCAGGACCGCTCAGCTTATTTTCCTTCGGAGAGTCACACTTCATATCAACGGCTGCGACAAACCAGCTCAGCCCTGCCAATGCCAAGCACAACCATTAGAGCCTGAAGACAAAACTATCCATTAGTTAATAATACAATTGCTACCTAAGCCGTTTCATGGTATTACAGGTTACTATTACCACTTCAATCTGCACTTTGCCAAGACGGTCAGAAAACTCAACTGTGGCTTCCTTGCAATATGGCAGCCCTAAGGCAATCCTGGAATGCCCTTGGTATACAGAGCTCTCCTGAAAATCGAACTTCTCCATCATCCATTGGGGTAAACAGGAATTCAGAAACAGGTTATACTGCCAACTACAGGAAGCTTGGACAGTGGCTTACAGGAAAATCAGAAGCCTCCCTACCTACCCATGCCTCAGTTTTCTGCCAGGTCCTCCTGCTGTAGCCAAGGTACAGTCTACTGAGGGAGTTCCTCTAGATTCCGTTTTCATTCTTGTCACTAGCAGCGCAAGTAAAATTCCTGATCCTCAACTGAGGACGCTTTGCTGGACTGGGGTGGACCACATGCTTCTTGGAACAAGGTTTACTGGTTTCACGGGTAGGTTTGCAGAGTTCCTTCTGTCAGACCAAACTTCTCCTACAGGTGTTACATGGTTAGGTCCATGCCAGGGGCGGACTGACCATTCGAGCACTCGGGCACTGCCCGGGGTCAGTAGGGGGCCCCATGAAATGCCCCTGGTACCTTTTATAGGCTTTTTTTTTTGAGTGTTGGTGAGGACATAGGGGCCCCATGATCCACTATTGCCCAGGGGCCCCATGAGTTGTCAGTCCGCCCCTGGTCCATGCTCTTCCGTATGTCCTCATCCTTGCCTACCTTGTGTAGGTATCTTTAGTTTACCCTTCTCAGTCTGGCCTTGAGGGGGTTACCCTTGGAGGTTTTCTACTAACTTCAAGGGTTGTTTGGCCATCTGTTGGGATAGTATGCTGTGAAGGCTCTCATGTTTCATTGACACCTCACTAAGAGGTTCTTCGCCTGAACAAGGCAACTTCTGCTGTTATCCTGGAAACTCCTTTCCCTGAATCTGAAGGGTTAGATTTTTGAGGCTTGGACCTTCTCATGTGGACCGCCTTGGTCTTTTTCCTTTGGACAATTTTTTTTTTGATTGTCAAAATTTCCCTTTGAGGATCGGTTATTCTGGGATGTATCTCAGTAGCCTTTGCTAACCACACCTCATTGTTGGTCTAGTTCATTTTTTTTCAGGTTATCTTGTTCTACCTGCTTTGGTCAATTGCTGGTGGGTTCCTAGAGCCTCGCAATGACTGACTCAATCTTCCTTACGTAGTGTCATTCCCCCATGGCAGTAGTATCTTTGTCCAGGTCTGGAGCACCAGGATGATCCTCTGAGGTCTTCCCTTGGTCATGGCAGTTTCACAGGCTTGCTATAATTCTCCTCATCTCCTTCTAGCTTTAGTCCATCAAAGGATCCCAATGCCTTGGATCTGTTCACGGTTTCTGCCTACCCCTTGGTTGGACTAGTTGTAGACATCCCGACTATTTCCTCTGTCACTCAATGGACAATATAAGATTTTTGTACTTCCAATAAAATCGTTTTCTTCAGGTTCATTGAAGGACACAGGTTCGACTTGTCTCGCTTTTTGTGCTGCCCCTGTGTATATCCTTCCCACAAAACTGAGGCATGATGGGTGGAGGATGACTTATACAGAGGCTGGCTTACACATTTTCTCTTTGCCTTTGCCCAAGCTTTCTGTAGATGGCAGTGTAGGCTGATTGTTTCTAAACTTGTGCGTCCTTCAATGAATGAAAAATGCTAACTTAATTTTGTATTCCGAAAGGCACACTGTGTTGACACCAGGGGCGGATTGACCATTCGGGTACTCAGGCACTGCCCGAGGGCCCAGGGTCAGTAGCGGGGCCCCAAGAAATGCCCCTGGTACTTTTTATAGACTTTTTTTGGGTGTGCTTTGAGTGTGGGAAAGGACACAGGGGCTCCATGATGCCCTATAGCCCGGGGGCCCCATGAGTTGTCAGTCCGCCCCTGGTTGACACTCTAGTTTGGTGTGAACAGGGCACACAGAAATGGACAGCAGTTATTTGTAGTGTCCTCGTGCTGAGTCTGCACTAAGAAAACGTGACTTGTTGCACCTGGCGTGAACAAGCCATAAACTGATCAACTAAAAAAATAAATAAATAAAAAAACTTTTGTTGTCAAGAAACCCTTAAAGAATGTGCAACCTTCAGGTTATTATTGAATTCAGGAATTTATCAATTTTACAGTAGATCTTACAGACAAGCTTACAGTAGATTTGACCGAATGTCACCGTTAATGTTTACGTGTGCTTCCACCCAGGGGCGGACTGACAACTCATGGGGCCCCCGGGCAATAGCGGATCATGGGGCCCCTGTGTCCTTGCCCAAACTCAAAAAAGCCTATGAAAAAGGTACCAGGGGCATCTTATGAGGCCCCCTACTGACCCCGTGCCCTCGGGCAGTGCCCGAGTTTCCAAATGGTCAGTCCGCCCCTGCTTCCAACAGGCGGTACATGTGGAAGCATTCATATAGTCAGCACCTGTGAGTGGCCGATCAATGGATCAAAAAAATCAAGTGAAGGCCCCTGATCTCACCTGGTGGAATATGCTGCTTGGTCTTCACCCTTCTGACACCACTGCCCCTGTATGCAGGCACGTCCCACTCTCCTGAGGGCTTCAGCATCTCCCCTCTTGGGGACGGGAATGTTGTCCCGACATCTCGGGTGTGTCTCTTGGTTGCGCTGGTCACAATTTCCAGATCCCCTATGAGTGCGAGGAAAGAAGAATAAGCTTTTTAAAGCTAGAAGAGTGCAGCAAGTACCCAAAGATAATCTAAACGGTGGAATTAAATGTAAAAGGAACAGTGTCCCTTTAAACCCCTAAACGTTTCTTGGGGACTCTATTGGTGAAATCTTTGTACAGCGTTCCCAAGATTGTACACCTGCTGTGTCCCTTATGAGGGGTTCCCTAAACCCCCAAAAGTCTTTTGGGGACTCTATTGGTGAATCCTCTGTACAGGGTTTCCAAGCTTGTACGCCTGCTGTGTCCATTATGAGGGGTTTCCCACCATCCCTGTGCTGAGTTTCTGGATTTCCACACCAACTGTGCCCATTATGAGGGGTTCCTACCATCCCTTTGCTAGGTTTCTGGATCTGCACACCAACTGTGCCCATTATGAGGGGATCCCACCATCAATATGTTGAGTTTCTGGATCTGCACACCAACTGTGCCCATTATGAAGGGTTCCTACCATCCCTGTGCTGAGTTTCTGGATCTGCACACCAACTGTGCCTATTATGAGGGGATCCCACCATCAATATGTTGAGTTTCTGGATCTGCACACCAACTGTGCCCATTATGAAGGGTTCCTACCATCCCTGTGCTGAGTTTCTGGATCTGCACACCAACTGTGCCTATTATGAGGGGATCCCACCATCAATATGTTGAGTTTCTGGATCTGCGCACCAACTGTGCCTATTAATGAGGGGATTCCACCATCATTGTGCTGAGTTTCTGGTTCTGCACACCAACTGTGCCTATTATGAGGGGATCCCACCATCAATATGTTGAGTTTCTGGATCTGCGCACCAACTGTGCCTATTAATGAGGGGATTCCACCATCATTGTGCTGAGTTTCTGGATCTGCACACCGACTGTGCCCATGATTTCTGTTATCATTATGATTTTAAAAGGAGCCAAACAACTATTTGATAATAAATGGCTTCATATGATCATCATCCTTCAATAAAAGAGCATTTTTTGGCATGATCAGTCATATTTTCAATATCAATGCCAACATATAGGGAAGTTAAGGGAGGAGCAGAGGAGCTAGGCCAGCAAAGGCAGTAATTTCATACTCCCAAAAGTAGGAGGGAGATGTGCTAGAGAATTCACTCAGATTTTCAATATCAATGCCAACATGTCACAATTTCTGCCAGGGGAGGCAGACTTCTGAGCACAACTGTAACTTTGTATGTAGCTGCTGGGGGAGAAGCAAAAAAAAAATATATGGAAACACTTGTCTGATGAGCTCCGAGTCTGCTGACTTCACATCCAAGATGGCGGCACCCAGCAGCAGTTTGAGTCAGTTGGATGTCTACACAAGGAAGGATTTTACAGGTGGATAAAATACAATAAATGTAGATAATATCATATTTTGGGAAGATTGTTGCAATGAGTGATCTGGTGACAGGATCTCTTTTTAAGCCTGGCGTAGAAGAGGTTCCCTTTAGGTGGCTCCTCAAAGGACAAAAATGATTAGTTGGCTCGTGGGAAATCTTGTTCATCTTGTATCTATACCAGGGGCGTCCCTAGGGTTGGTGTCACCCGGTGCGGTAACAGTTGGTGACACCCCCTCCGACGATCCCCGCAGAATGGATTGGATCTGTGGATTGATCATAATGGATCCAGATCCATCCTGCGGGGATCGTTGGCTTGCTTTACAACTTACCTTTTCATGGAGCGGGTCTGGTGTCATCCCGTGTGGTCGGTGTCACCCGGTACGGGCCGGAACCCCCGCACCTGCCTCGGGACACCACTGATCTATACCTGACCTGAGATATGCCCTCCCTGCTGTCTCATCTCCATAGCAGAGACTTGCTGCTGGTCTCCTATCAATGAGCTCCATGCTGGACATATAAAGCGCGATCTGGTACTGTGTTTGATTTTTGGCTCCATTTCAGTGGTGATGGAGGTGACCTACCTGCTTGGATGCCTTTGTTCAGCACTTTGCAGCCATCTTTTCTCCTTATCGCTGGTTCCCACGAGCTGCCGGATGAGACGGAGTCTGTATCTGCCATCTGTGAGACAAAAACACGGGATATCCATGACTGAATGAAGGATATTTCCAAAGAACACATCCAGGAGGCGCTGAGGCTTCAATACCATCAATGTAGAGTGGTGAGGGCATCAAAATAAACATTCAGAGAGATCATTGGCATGAAACAAGGCTACCCTCCCCCACCTCAGTGGGTACCCAGAAAGTCACTCAAAGCCTAAATCAACAGGAACGCCAGAGCAAAAAGGTAAGGCCCCATGTACACGGGACACTTCTGAACGATGGAAACTGACTGCTGGAAAACGTAGGTTAAAAAACGTCTGTTTAACCGCGTTTGCATGACGCGTTTATGCACGTTTTTTTTTAAAGGTAAGCACAGGAGAACCTCCCAAATGCCCAGAATGCACTGAAAAGTGGTAAATTATTAACTATTTCAGATTGTTTCAGAGAAATACAGAAAGTAGAAGCAGAGACAGCAGTATGTGTTGAGCTGAGGTGTGAGTTGCTCATTAACATTTCTTTTGTTTCCAAGGGTGGGAAAGGTGTCTGGTGGAGGGAGTCATTAAGGTCACCTGGCAGGGGGTCTTCATGAGGAATCTGAGGTGTGAATGGTCATTGACATATCTTTTTTTCCAAGGGCGGGAGAGGTCTGAGGTGTGAATGGTCTTTAACATATCTTTTGTTTCCAAGGGCGGGAGAGGTCTGAGGTGTGAATGGTCATTAACATATCTTTTGTTTCCAAGGGTGGGGGAAAGGTCTGAGGTGTGAATTGGTCATGAACATATCTTTTATTTCCAAAGGTGGGAGAGGTCTGAGGTGTGCATTGGTCATTACAATGTGTGACAAGCTTGGTAGGAACATCCTTTGTTCAGTGTTTTGTCCATCTGAGTACCTTGAAAACGCTTTACATTCATTTTACATGATGAAAAAGGGCTCTGGACAGCATCGGGAACTGGAAGAGTTAAAGAAATTTTCAGACGCAAGTGCTTATAAACGCGTTTTGCCGCGTTTAGCCGTGTTTACAAGCGTTTTTTTTTGCGTTTGAAATGCTGATAAAATCGACTGCTGAAATGCAAGTTTTCTGCGTTAAAAGAAACAACTGTAAACTCAACTGCCTGTAAACGACGATGTGAGCGTTTTCAAGGTACTCAGATGGACAAAACACTGAACACAGGATGTTCCTACCAAGCTTGTCACACATTGTAATGACCAATGCACACCTCAGACGTCTCCCACCTTTGGAAACAAAAGATATGTTCAGAGACACAAAAGGAAATGAGAGGAATTTTCTCCAAAGAAAGGAGGAATCTCCTCTTGGACATTTATCCATGGAGCAGGTGCCCCCATTGGAATATTTTGCCTCTCCATCTGTTTCGGTGATCCTGTAGACCTCATAGGTGAACTGGGCAAGGCTGAATCGTCAAGATTTAAGTACAGCATTGTCCACTCACTACGGAGAGTTGCCCGCCAACTGGATCAAAAGGTAGCAAATAAACGTTCGTTTATAGAATTTAGATACATTGTAACAAGGGGACCAAATATGAACATGTTAAGAGTAGAAAACCATGTTGCATCTACCTTATTGAGGCTTTTATGGAGATCTTTCATCTCTATCTTTGAGTTTCCCCCCGCTTGCAGACAACCGGCTTGCTTTTTTTGAGGTCCCTTCTGAGCGTTTCTTCTGGAGGTCGATGGTGTTGTAGAGTCGTGAGAGCTTTGATGAAGGTCGAACTCTCTCTGGTCCAAAAGCGTTGATGAGTCTGACTGTGTCTATAGTGGATATGGTACTGTCTGTGGCACATGTTGATGCACTACCAGTGGCAGCTTCTGATCCAACGGGGCTCTCTTCTGTGACACCACTCCTTATCTCGGAGGAGAAATCAGAATACAACAAGCCACCACTGAGAACCTTCTCAGAAGAAGCCGTCTCTGATAACCTGCTTATGGAGCCATCTTGGTTTTCTGAAGTCCCATTAACCAGCAGAGTGTCCACTCCAAATTTCTTCAGGTACCATTTTTCCCTCTCTTCTTTCTTGGTCTCCCGTCCTTTCTCATGGACTTTCTTGTTGAACTTTAGGGCATGGTCTCCATCCTTTTCATCTTTAGTAGCCGAGTATGGCTTTGGATTCTGTAAAAGTCTAGCGAGACGGTCCAGCCGCTCAACCAGGGAGGCCTCCAGCTTACTGCTTGATTCTGACAAATGGCTTTTCCGCCGGTCAGTATATCGCGCCCAGAGGTCATCTAGGCTCTGGTTGGAGATGGCGCTCTGACTAAGAGTGGACTCTGACCTTTGGAAGCTGTTGGTGGGATTGGTGGGGTGATCATTAGAGAAGCCACGATCTTCATATCTCACGTGTTTTTCTCTCATACCAAATTTGGAATCCCAACTTGCATTGGGTGAATGAAGCGGAGTGCCACGTGCCTGTTCCTGCTTGCCTCTTCTTCTAGGATAATCAGTGATATCAGAACCACGGCCACGATAATCCATTTTCTTTAGTGAGCCCATACTTGCATGTTGCTCTGGAGCATCATCAACCTCTGGATTTAATGGAAAAAACTCCTCATCCTCATGTGCTGAACGCAGGTCTCTCTTCTCCCTTGGAAGGTCTCTTGATGCCTTCTCAGGACTGGAGACTGTGTGCTGGAGACTGCAGTATGATGCTTTATTGTCATCATGAAATGATCCTAATGTACATAAACAAAAAATATATATATTTTTGCAACTGTGGATAATTTCATCATATTAAAAAAAGAAGAGTCATACTTGATCATTGCTTAGCCCAGCAATGGGCAAACTACGGCCCGCGGACCTTTTAATCCGGCCCGCGGAGCGTGATACTGTCAGGATGGCTGTCAGGATGTGTGTAGGCGAGGCAGCGTGACGAACATGAGGGGAGCTAGGCTCCTCTCACAGTCCGCCCTGAAGACCAGAACGGCGCGGGAACACGGCGAGAGGAACGCGCGGAGCAAAGGTAGGTGAATTGACACAGGGGGGACTTGGCTTACTACTTGGGGGGGAATAGTACTATGGGGGATGAAATACTATATGAGGGATGAATTAATATGGGGGATGAATATGGGGAATTAATTACTATAGGGGGGATGAATTACTATAGGGGGGATGAATTACTATAGGGGGGATGAATTACTATGGGGGATGAATTACTATATGGGGGATGAATTACTATAGGGGGGATGAATTACTATATGGGGGATGAATTACTATAGGGGGGATGAATTACTATATGGGGGATGAATTACTATGGGGGATGAATTACTATATGGGGGATGAATTACTATATGGGGGATGAATTACTATATGGGGGATGAATTACTATATGGGGGATTAATTACTATGGGGGATGAATTACTATGGGGGATGAATTACTATATGGGGGATGAATTACTATATGGGGGATGAATTACTATGGGGGATGAATTACTATATGGGGGATTAATTACTATGGGGGATGAATTACTATATGGGGGATTAATTACTATGCTTACTATGGGGGAATATTACTATACTTACTATGGATGACACATACACATCATTCATCTACTCTTGGTCTGGCCCCCGGGTCCAATATATGAACCCATTGCGGCCCTCAAGTCAAAAAGTTTGCCCACCCCTGGCTTAGCCCCTGCATGGGAGAACCATGTGCTTGTTACTGTTGGTTTATTATATGATAATAAAAAAAAAATACTGAAACAGAAAAATTGAAGAGTCAATCACCTTGAATCCGTATTGGTACAGATTGTCCCAACTTGGTCTTTTAGGGCCGTGGTCTAATTTTAACAGCAGCCCGCAGATACTGCCGCCCAGGGAGGGGAACCAGCAACGTCACAGGCAAGAAAACTTTGCTGGCTAATTTCCAATGGCTTTTCTTCTGATATAAAAAAGATGGCGCACCGACCTAGTGCATTATCATTTAAAAATGTATTTATTGAAGAAAAAAAGTAAGTATCATACTCACAATAGACATAAAAACACAGGCATGTCAAACTGAACAAGATGTATGATCCAAGCTCTGAGGAAGAGGATGTGTCATCGAAACGTGTTAGCCAGTTAGTCATCCAGGGTTCCATCGAATGGACTCAGATGCATCTTGTTCAGTCTGACATGCCTGTGTTTTTATGTCTATTGTGAGTATGATACTATTTTCTTTCAATAAATACATTTATAAACGATAATGCACTAGGTCGGTGCACCCTCTTTTTTGTTTCTCCATTTTAATTTAGTGTACTTGGACCACCCGGTCTGCTGAGGGCAGCAAGCAGTGCATATTCCAGAACATTCCTATTGGTTCTACTGAGTCCATTCCTAGCGCAGGTGAAAAGTGTTGGATTTTCTTCTGATATGTCGGTATCAGAGGTATTTAGAGAATGTTTGTTCCATGCATGAATAATATGTATAACACATGTCAATGTCCCAAAGATGTTTTGTTTCATTGTTGGTGCATCTCCATTCTGCTAATCTCCTGCAGCCTCTTTGCAACCACTTCCTGTGCACATGTACTCTAATGATGGCTGCATGGCTGGTTTTAGGGCATATTTAAGGACACAGCCTACCTTTTGGACCATGTTACATATTACACCCATATTTAGGATGTGACATGCAACATGGTACCATAGATGACCCCAAAAAGCAAATTGGAAATGCACTCTTACCAGAACTGCAGACTGTTTCTTCTGTCCCTGTACAATTATGCTTTCAAAGTTGCATAGCTGTTTGTGCCTCTGCCTGCACAGCTGCACCATTCATGTTTGGAATTGATACGGTTTAAGTACTACAAGTCCCATTTTCCCTTGTCCTGGCATCAGTGGGAGTAAGCAATGCCTCATCATTGGTATTAATGGGAGATATAGTGCATTGGTGCTAGTGGGAGGAATAGTGCCCCATCACTGGTATCAATGGGAGGAATAGTGTCCCATCATTGGTGTCAGTGGAGGAATAGTGCCCCATCATTGGTGTCAGTGGGAGGAATAGTGTCCCATCATTGGTGTCAGTGGGAGGAATAGTGCCCCATCATTGGTGTCAGTGGGAGGAATAGTGCCCCATCATTGGTGTCAGTGGGAGGAATAGTGCCCCATCATTGGTGTCAGTGGAAGGAATAGTGTCCCATCATTGGTGTCAGTGGGAGGAATAGTGCCCCATCATTGGTGTCAGTGGGAGGAATAGTGCCCCATCATTGGTATCAATGGGAGGAATAGTGCCCCATCATTGGTGTCAGTGGGAGGAATAGTGCCCCATCATTAGTGTCAGTGGGAGGAATAGTGCCCATTCATTGGTATCAGTGGGAGGAGTAGTGTCTCATCATTGGTATTGGTTGGAGGAATAGTGTCCCATCATTGGTATCAGTGGGAGGAATAGTGTCCCATCATTGGTGTCAGTGAGAGGAATAGTGCCCCATCATTGGTGTCAGTGGGGGGAATAGTGCCCCATCATTGGTGTCAGTGGGAGGAATAGTGCCCCATCATTGGTATCAGTGGGAGGAATAGTGCCCATCATTGGTATCAGTGGGAGGAATAGTGCCCATCATTGGTGTCAGTGGGAGGAATAGTGCCCCATCATTGGTATCAGTGGGAGGAATAGTGCCCCATCATTGGTGTCAGTGGGAGGAATAGTGCCCCATCATTGGTATCAGTGGGAGGAATAGTGCCCCATCATTGGTATCAGTGGGAGGAATAGTGCCCATCATTGGCATCAGTGGGAGGAATAGTGCCCCATCATTGGTGTCAGTGGGAGGAATAATGCCCCATCATTGGTATCAGTAGCAGGAATAGTGTCTCATCATTGGTGTCAGTAGGAAGAATAGTGTCCCATCATTGGTATTGATTGGAGGAATAGTGTCTCATCACTTGTATCAGTGGGAGGAATAGTTTCCCATTTTTGGTGTCAGTGGGAGGAATAGTACCACATCATTGGGATCAGCAGGAGACATAATGACACTCTCATCGGTGTCTGTGGGAGGAATAACTCCCCATTCTAGGTGTCAGTGGCGGGAACTATGCACCACTGTCACTGATGGTGGGGATAATAATGTGCCAAGGGCCAGATAAAAGAAAGCAAAGGGCCGCAATTTGGAGACCACTGCTCTAAACACTACTCTTCTAATACGCCTGTAAACGCTTATGTGTAAAAGTTAAAAATCTGTAATTTTTTTTTACATCCTTTTGTGCATGTGGCCTAATGATTACGTTTTTTATACGTACTATCCCCTCCCACCTGTCACCAGCGTCCTCCTCCTCTCTGCTGCATTGTCCTGCCATGCGATCTTCGGACTGTGATCCTTGCTGTAGATGCCGTCTTTGTGGTGGGGGATGGAGGTGTCAGAGGTTTTCTCTGTGGTGGAGCCCAAAACTTCGGAGGGGAACTTTGGTGGAACGGCATCGTTGGAGCCTGCAGGAGAAGGAGGGAAGATCTGAGATCTGCGGCTGTACTCCTACACATCAGCAGAATCATTTTTTTAATCATCATTTTGACAAATTAAGCTACGGATTTCATCTGGTTTTACCACCATTTATTTATTTATTTCATATATTTTATTTATATTTAATATTATAAAATTTTAAAGTGAGATTTTTATATTTTTACTATCCACCAAAATTTTTGATTTACAAATTAACACCCACAGCTGAACTCCACGCTGATATAAAAGACACAAATGAATGCAGCTTTGTAATCATTAATACATTAAAGCATAATTCCGGGAACATTTTTTTTTTTGCCCGTGCTGTGGAGCTGTACCGGCACTGCACAGGTTAACTGGTGGTTTTGTTCTAAGAGAGAGGACACCGAAGGTATACTCACCTGACCCGCCGATCCTCCCTGCACAAGGTCCTTTCAGCTCCTGCCCCCCCCCCCCCCCCCGCAGTCCAGCAATCTTGTAAATGGACTGGTTCTGATGTCAGCACACTCAATGCATGCTCTATGGACAGAAACAGTCCACCGCTGGATCGTGGGGGAGCACAGGTTTCCGTAGGATAGGTGGGTCAGGTGAATAGGAGTCTCATCCGTAGAAAAAAACGAGAAGCTGATCCATGCAGTGGGGGCACATAGTAAAAAAAAAAAAAAAAACAATTTTGCATGGTAGCAGCCTTGCAGTCTCTGTACAACAGGGCTCAGACTAGGGGAGGGAGAAGCAGCACAAAGTGCCAATCAGTTGCACAGGAACAGGGGCGGACTGACAACTCATGGGGCCCCCGGGAAATAGGGGATCATGGGGCCCCTGTGTCCTTGCCCAAACTCAAAAAAGCCTATGAAAAAGGTACCAGGGGCATCTCATGGGGCCCCCTACTGACCCCGGGCCCTCGGGCAGTGCCCGAGTTTCCAAATGGTCAGTCTGCCCCTGCACAGGAATATGCTGATAGGAGAGGGCAGAGCGGTAAAGAGATGAGGTCATCAGTCTGCTGCTTCTCCTTTCACTGTCCAATCACAGACTGGGGGAGGAACAAGACCTGTAAGTGATACTGAACTGCAGCAAAGAAAAATCAGGTCTTCTGCCCTGTGCTGTGTAAATCTCTGGACTGGACAGACAGAAATACAAATCCTTTGGCAGGCAAACAAATCTCTTGTATATGTATTTCACCTATGTACTTACCCATTCACCTGAATGATACTTCAAAGTGTACGTAATTCTTTTTTTTTTTTTTTTTACAGTGGACACAATTTGAACATTTCAGAACCTGTGATGTTTTTATTGCTGTCTTTGTCTCCGCCCTCTATCCATCCTGGTAACTGTCTTCACCGGCACCAAAACTGTCAATGAAACATAAAGGGGGCGTCTTCTGAAAGGAAACTTGTTCTAGGGACTGTAGAGGGGATTTCCCGCAGTTGGAAGAGACTACAAAAAGTGAAGGGAAATCTCCCTAGGGGAACTTAAGACAGGAAAACCTCCTTCCCTACCATATACAAAACTAACCCCCCCCCCCAATAAAAAAAAACCTGAGGTTTAGATACACATTAACACAGGGTGCACCCATTAAAATAATATTCTGAAATCCCAAATAGCACAGTTCCAGGGCAGAAAGCTCAACTTGTATCAGCTAGAGCAACTGAGATCTGTAAAACTGCTTTTTTACAGCAAAGCAGTTAGAATTAGCCTGGTTAACATAGCCTAGAGATCCAATGGCTGGCTTTGTATTTACAAATATTCAAATGAAATACTTTATATTTACCTGAATGAAAAAAAATAAATACTTCTGGCTAAGAGGGTGCGCATGTGACCTCCTCCCAGTATGCAGTGCCCATTCCTGAGCAGCCGACTGCCAGATTCAAACACTGTTACATGAGGAAAGAGGCAACTTTATCAGCCTGGTGTAAGAACTGACTCCAACAGGGGGCTAACAAAGGTGTTACACTCCCAGAGGAATGAGGTGGCATAGGTCCAGAGACAGGGTCTTTTTAACCCCTAGCCTACAGGGCACTTTTGCCCCCTTCCTGCCCAGGCCAATTTTCAGCTCTCAGCGCTATCACACTTTGAATGACAATTGCACGGTCATGCGACTCTATACCGATATGAAATGTTTATAATTTTTTTCACACAAATATGAATGAGCCCCAAGACCTAATTTACACACACACAGCATTTCTGATCCCAAGAGTCAGGGGTGTTTGCATACAGCCGCATGCACAAATCAATGACAGGCTGTCAGACACTTCGGCTGTACCCATGTAGCCTCAATCTTGGATGCAAATTGGGCTGCTCATAAATCCTTCAATGCATATACCCGCTTGGATGTGCGGTTCCATGTGTACAGCCACGATGTCTGTCAGCCTGTCACTGATTTGTACGATCCTTACCATACAGCGCTCATATGATTCACTATATATCTTATGGATACAATCTATAAAGAGAGTGCATGTTCTCAAAACAATCAAACCATCCATAAAGTGCAATAAAAGTCAATGTCCATATGCGTAGTCTTCAATAACTCTTTTCCATAAAAGTTCACTATACAGTTGCAAGAAAAAGTATGTGAACCCCTTGGGATTACGTGAGTTGTTTGGGAAGAACACACAACACTATGTGTGGAGAAAAAAAAAGGTACAGCACACTAACATCAAAACCTCATCCCCACTGTGAAACATGGCGGAGGGAGCATCATGGTTTGGGGCTGCTTTGCTGCCTCAGGGCCTGGACGGATTGTTGTCATTGATGGGAAAATGAATTCCAGAGTTTATCAAGACATTTTGCAGGAAAACGTACGACCATCTGTCCGCCAACTGAAGCTCCGCAGAGGATGGGTGATGCAACAGGACAATGACCCAAAGCGTACAAGTAATTCAACAAAACAATGGCTGCAACAGCACAGAATACGCCTTCTGGAGTGTCCCAGTCAGAGTCCTGACCTCAACCCGATTGAAATGCTGTGGCATGACCTTAAGAGAGCGATTCACACCAGACATCCCAAGAATATTGCTACAATAAAACAGTTTTGTGAAGAGGAGTGGTCCAAAATGACTCCAGATCGTTGTGCAGGTCTGATCTGCAACTACAGGAAATGTTTGGTTGAGGTTATTGCTGCCAAAGGAGGGTCAACCAGTTATTAAGTCCAAAGGTTCACATACTTTTTCCTCCCTGCACTGTGAATGTTTACATGTTATGTGCAATTAAACCATGGCAACATCTAATGTTTGTGTAGTATTATGTTCAGCAGACTGTGTTCTTCTATTGTTGTGACTTAGATGCCGTTCAGAGCACATTGTATGCCCAATTCATGCAAAACTCCACGTAATCCCAAGGGGTTCACATACTTTTTCTTGCAACTGTATATAAAGTGCTCCCCTCTGGTTTATGTCAATCCTGATAATGGTGTGAGGAAGAGGAGATACAGCCCTGGATATTGTAACTTTTGGGGGATAGAGCGCATCTAGACCTACTCTATGGGGAAGAATCATGGTCACCTGGTAAGTACTCCAGAGTGGTGTTGGTGTACAATCTTTATGCAGGACTTGACAAATGTGCTTTGGACCTAGGAGCCAGCTAAAAAAAGTTAGGAGCCATTTTTTTTTTTTTTTTTAACCACTCGCCGACTGGTCACTTTCACCCCCTTCCTGCCCAGGCCAATGGCAATTGCACGGTCATGGAACACTGTATACATATGAAATTTTTATCATTTTTCTTCAAACAAATAGAGATTTGTTTTCTGGTATTTAATCACCACCGGGGTTTTATTTTTTGCTACACAAACAAAAAAAGACTGCAAATTTTGGAAAAAAAAAAAAAAAACCTTATTTGTTATAAAATTTTGAAAAGTAATTGTTTTCTTCACTGATGTGCGGTGATAAGGATGCACTGACAGGCTGCAGTGATGGACATTGATAAGGAGGTACTGATAGGTGGAACAGATTGGCACTGAAGAGGAAGCAATGATAAAGCAGCATTGACAGGCACTGAGAGGCGGAACTGATGGCCACTGATATGCTGCACAGATGGGCACTGAAGAGGAGGCACTGATAAGGCAGCATTGACAGGCACTGAGAGGCGGAACTGATGGCCACTGATATGCTGCACAGATGGGCACTGAAGAGGAGGCACTGATAAGGCAGCATTGACAGGCACTGAGAGGCGGAACTGATGGCCACTGATATGCTGCACAGATGAGCACTGAAGAGGAGGCAATGATAAGGCAGCATTGACAGGCACTGAGAGGCGGAACTGATGGCCACTGATATGCTGCACAGATGGGCACTGAAGAGGAGGCACTGATAAGGCAGCATTGACAGGCACTGAGAGGCGGAACTGATGGCCACTGATATGCTGCACACAGATGGGCACTGAAGAGGAGGCACTGATAAGGCAGCATTGACAGGCACTGAGAGGCGGAACTGATGGCCACTGATATGCTGCACAGATGAGCACTGAAGAGGAGGCAATGATAAGGCAGCATTGACAGGCACTGAGAGGCGGAACTGATGGCCACTGATATGCTGCACAGATGGGCACTGAAGAGGAGGCACTGATAAGGCAGCATTGACAGGCACTGAGAGGCGGAACTGATGGCCACTGATATGCTGCACAGATGAGCACTGAAGAGGAGGCAATGATAAGGCAGCATTGACAGGCACTGAGAGGCGGAACTGATGGCCACTGATATGCTGCACAGATGGGCACTGAAGAGGAGGCAATGATAAGGCAGCATTGATGGCCATTGTTATGCTGCACAGATGGGGCTGCACTGATATTCAGGGCAGTGATGATCAATGCCCTGATTATCAGTGTAAATGTCCCCTGTCACGATAGCCGGTTATCAGCTTCCCTTTTCTCACGCTGTGACAGCCGATAGCCAGTTTACATGTGATCTGCTGTGATTAGGCAAAGGAGATTGACTATGATTGGCCCTTTACCTCGATCTGTGATCTGCTGTGTCTGAAGGACACAGCTATCACAGAGCACGCCCAATGCGCTCAATAGACGTCTTTCCAGAAATGGACGACCGCGCTGTAGGGAGGCAGTTGTGAGCGGCTGACAAAAGCTCAGGTGCCAGAACACAATTTCTAGTCACCATGACGACCTGGTGCCTTGAATTTGTCGAGCCCTGCTTTATGAACTGTATGTGGTGCAATTTTTACATATGGTTTGCGCAGTTGCACGGAGCACCTTATACACAATGCACTTTTATGGAAAAGGATCATTGAAAGTTGCACATATGGACACTGAAGTTCATGAACTGTATGTGGAATAATTTATACATTTGATTTGCACAGTTGCACGGAGCAATTTATACATAGTGCACTTTTATCGAATTCATTATTAAGAATTATTGAAGGCTAGACATATGGACATTTAATTTTTATTGCAGTTCATGGATGATTAGATTGTTTTGAGAACATGCACTTTGTTATAGACTGTTTACATAGGATATAAAGTGAATCGTATGAGCGCTGTATGGTAAGGATCGTACAAATTAGTGATTTACACACAGAATGTGGTAGATACAGCTGCTGTACACATTTAGCGCGGGTGTTAATGGTTAAAATTGATTTGTACAAGCTGCGGCCCACAGCTGTATGCAAACCTCTTTGACTGCTGTGCACAGAAATACACTCCTTGATGCTCTATGGTCTTTTGTGGCCATGTAAATGAGGCCTAAAACACAACATAAATGTGCACTGCTGCGCATTGTAACACACTGCGTTGCAATAAAATGTATGTGTGCATCATTCTATCACACAGCAATGCAACCCAAACGTCACTGTGTTTGGGCCAGGGGAGGACTGACAACTCATGGGGCCCCCGGGCAATAGGGGATCATGGGGCCCCTGTGTCCTTGCCCACACTCAAAAAAGCCTATGAAAAACGTACCAGGGGCATCTCATGGGGCCCCCTACTGACCCCGGCCCTCGGGCAGTGCCCGAGTTTCCAAATGGTCAGTCTGCCCCTGGTTTGGGCTTGGCAAAATGCATAGGTGAAAGCCAACCTCTGAATTTTTTATTTACAGATTTTGCCAAAGAAGAAAAAAAAATTTGAATTTACAAATATTTATTTTTTATTAACTCAATATAGTTTTAGATTTTGTAGGAATTTAGCAGGGATTTGCAAGTTCTGCTGTGTTTGATAATAATGATTTGTGTATTTTCATATATTTTTAATGTATTTTCTTTTTACTCTGCCAGATCCTTTGCTTTCAGAAAATGTAGGTTTTAGGGGGTCTTTTACAAACTCTGAAAGCTGTAAGTGAAAAAATGATAATCTCCAGAAATGTACTTATTTACAGTTTTGCATACCCTCGGTTTTCACCGTTTCTCAAAACGGCACAAATTAAAATTTAGAATTTCTTTTTCTTTTTCGTTTTTACCTTAGTACAGTTTTAGCTCTTAGATTTAATAGGAAATGAGAAGTTTTATTGTATTAGTTAATTTTTTCAGTGTATTTTTAGCCAAAATATAATTTAAAAAACATTTGCGCAACCATTGCAGAACTAGTAGCACCTTCTTTTTTTTCTACTTGTCCTTTGCTTTCAGAAAATATATGGTTTGGGGGGGGGGGGGGGTCTTTTACAAACTCTGAAAGCTATAAGTGTTGAAGAAAAAAAAATGAAATTTTTTAAATGAAAAAAAAAAAGATGAAATTGCAAAAGTGGTCTGGCCATCTGAGTTTAAAAGTAGAATGCAGGGCCAGGCAGTGAAAGGGTTAAATAACTACGGGGGGGGGGGGGGGGGGGAGTTGTTCTACCTGTGTGGGAACTCTCAATAGTGCTGACGGGAGACATTCTAGAAGCGCCATCCATAACTGGTATGTAGAACAATTCGGGGCTCCCTGGTGGTCTGTACGGCAACAACAAAGGCTGATCTACAGAGAGAACATAAAATATATATTAAAAACAAATATATTGCAGAGTACAATCTACCAAATCTGACTCCCATCCAGCACTGGAAAACTGACTTGAAGTTGTATTAGTGGTGAGGCACATAACACACCCAAAGAATCCCACGTGAACTGGCAAGGCTTGCCTTGTACCACTTCTTAGAGTCAGACAATGGCAAACGCCAGCACCTGATGGGACGTTTGGTTGTGTTGGACAACAGCTAACCTGACAATGTCCCTTTAAAGGTGTACTAGAGAAACTCTCCTTCTCAACAGCCAATAGTGAAGGTCCAAACTTTAGGAATGGCTTGTGACATTATATAATAAAAGGGCAAAGCAGACCTCGCAAGCCTTGATGGATGGATGGATTGATGGATACCTCGCTTCCTCTCCATTCCACTATTACTGGTTGCCACCACTATAAAAAAGCAACAGTGACAGATCTAAAATGTTTGACATGTGGTTTTTATGTAGAATTTTATTTCAAACAAACATAAGGCCCGTGGGCTGAAACTGGCCCACCAGGCCATTTCATGTGCTCCTTACACCTCTCCTGCTGCTGTGGAAACTTGTTTCCCCTTCTTTCAGCAGTCGGCAGTAAAGAGGACAGAACTCCTCCGCCAGATCCTGCGCTTCTCTATGCAGCCGCATCATCCTCTCGTCTCCGCTCCCCTGGTCTCAATATTCAGAAAACTCCGGTAGCTGATTCCAGCCCTCCTCCAGACCCTGCACTTTGTTTCCCAGCTGCGCCCCCAGCTTCTTTACAGCAGCAGCACAAGGTAACGGGAGTGCACTGTGATGTAATGGTGGGGGACTCTTGACGTCTGATGGTAGGGGGGCTCTTGACATCTGATGTAAGGAGGTGGGATGTTCTCTAGACATCTAGTCTTGCAGACACAAGTGGCCCTTTGAGGGCAACCATAATGCTGATGCATCCCGCAATGAAATTGAGAACGACGCCCTTGATTAAAATTAATTTAAACATTCACACATTTTAAAGTCACAATGTATCCAGTATCCAAGGAACTGGATATCAGACTTGCAGTGTAAGTGGCTGCTTTGTGAACCAATGGGAAGGAAGGTAGGTACTTACAGTAGGTGGAATCGTATGAGGAAGACCGCTTATAACGGACACCCCCAGTGTAGGGTCTAGAAGTCCAAAAAGCTGAAGAGATGAGGAGCACGGGCAAATATCCGCAGGTGCTGAACGTTGACACATTCCTATGGGAACCACAGGTCACTTTGATTTTCAAACCTTCTGGTATGCATGCTGGAGATCTGGGAACACCATCACTGCTGCCCACATAAAGTGTGCCCAGTTATTTCCACAGCAGTCTACTAAAGCTTTACTGTAGCTTCAGACTAGAGAAGGTCTGGATTTTAGTACACACTGACCACCCCACATGTCTGCAACCAGCCTCAGGGCTCCTGAACTCTAAAACTCTGCTGGCTTGGTATACACTCATGGTCCCTCTAGAGTCTGCTAACAATCAGATGCCACCAGGAAGTAATCCAAGGCAAGCTGGAGTGGAGAAAAAAATGCAATGTAGACTTACAAATACTAAAAAACTAAATGTAATAATCAATGTAACCCATTGAACACCATTAATCTATTACACATGTTATAACCTGTGATAAGATCTTGCTCACCAGTTGCTCGGGAAAGTGAGGAGAAAGGGGTGGTGGGTTGCCTCTCTGGAGTCTTTTGGGTCTGTACGGAAGTAGAACTGGAGGCTTCTTTCAATGAACCATCAATATAAAATCTCAGCAGAAAAGGTGGTCTTCTCTGGACTTTCTGTTGTTATCTGTGTAGTGGCATCAAACAATGTCAATCGCCTTTGATCTTTTATGGTTGCTTTGTCTGGAATGTTTTCTTTATCTTCTATTTGGACATTATCTTCACTTTTGGTTCCACCCTCTCCTTGACTTGGAGGATAATGTAGAAAGTAGGGACTGCCTGGTGGGACAGTTGACAGCTCGGGACCTGAGACTTGCTCATTCTTTGCCATTGCAGATGACAATCTAAGTGTCTTAGCATCATTACCTGTCCCTGTTGTCATCATTACAGAAGATATATTTAGGTCTTCTTTTGGAGAGATAGTCACTCGGAGACAGGAAAGAGCTTTCCTGGTTGGAGAAGTTGGTTCTGTTTTTAATTCCTGTGAAGACAAGTCATAAGTTCCATCTCTTTGAATCTTCCCAGTAAATATTGGTTCTGGATACACCTTCCATTCCTTTGCACTAACATTCAATATTGGCTGAGGAAGTTCACTCATAACTGAACTATTTGTTATTAAGGCACTGTGGCTAGGACCAGTGATGTCCTCCTGAAGACCTGTAAGCTTACTTGGTCTTCCAACAGGTGAAGCAAAACTGTCTTTGTACATAGCAGAGTTCCTATCCACCACTGAGGACAGATCTGTTCGAATGTGGGTTTTAATTACCTCAGACGGTCCTTGGTGTTCAGTGTTATCAGTAACATCCAAAATGAAGGCCTTTTGAGGCATCATATTGTCCATTGTTGCTGGACGGTGGATAACATTTGATCTGATAGTTTCAGGAGGTTGATTGTCCTTGTAAAGAAGGTCAGTAAGTTGCTTTTCTGTATAGTGTGGGTCAACACGTGACTTGTCTTTTTCATACGGGTAAGCATGTAGCTTGTCTTTTTCATATGGGTCAGTACACGGCTTGTCTTTTTCATATGGGTCAGTACATGGCTTGTCTTTTTCATATGGGTCAGTACATGGCTCATCTTTGTAGTATGGGTCAGCACGTGGCTCATCTTTGTAGTATGGGTCAGCACGTGGCTTATCTTTGTAGTATGGGTCAGCATGTAGCTTGTCTTTTTCGTATGGGAAAGCACATGGCTCATCTTTGTAGTATGGGTCAGCACGTGGCTTATCTTTGTAGTATGGGTCAGCACATGGTTTATCTTTGTAGTATGGGTCAGCACATGGTTTATCCTTGTAGTATGGGTCAGCACGTGGCTTGTCTTTTTCATATGGGACAGCACGTGGCTCATCTTTGTAGTATGAGTCAGCACGTGGCTCATCTTTGTAGCATGGGTCAGCACGTGGCTTGTCTTTTTCATATGGGACAGCACATGGCTCATCTTTGTAGTATGGGTCTGTACATGGCTTGTCTTTGTAGTATGGGTCTGCTTGTGACTTGTCTTTGTCATATGGGTCAGCATGTGGCCTGTCTTTGTAGCATGGGTCAACACGTGACCTGTCTATGTCGTATAGGTCAGCATGTGACTTGTCTTTGTCATATGGGTCAGCACGTGGCCTGTCTTTGTAGCATGGGTCAACACGTGACCTGTCTATGTCGTATAGGTCAGCATGTGACCTGTCTTTGTCATATGGGTCAGCACATGGCCTGTCTTTGTAGCATGGGTCAACACGTGACCTGTCTATGTTGTATAGGTCACCATGTGACTTGTCTTTGTCATATGGGTCAGCACGTGGCCTGTCTTTGTAGCATGGGTCAACACGTGACCTGTCTATGTCGTATAGGTCAGCATGTGACTTGTCTTTGCAGTATGGGCCAGCGAGTGACTTATCACAGTCAAAGTGTCTTGTAGCAGATGACAATTCAGCAGTTTCAGGGCTGGTAGAAGCAGGGAGAGGTGAGGAACGCTTTCGTGAGGAAAAGGTGATTGAAGCTATTGGCTTTGTGGCCTCTTCTCCATATTTATTGGCATATACAGTTTTTCTGTCCAGATCAGAATATCTATCAGCTACTGGAATGTGAAGGTCTTTTGTTAAACCTTGTTGGAATTGACTGGAGATCAATGTAGACTGTTCAGGCTGTAGGGTAACAGTGGCCACGGCTTTAATATTCCCGACAGTCATAGAGCCTGAATGGACCTCGGAAGCTCCACACCTGGTAGATTGAGCTATTGGAACTATGCTATTCTCCGATGAGTCCTGAGCATCTTTCAAACGATACGGATCAAGCTGAGGTGACGGAGTCAGCTGCAGTCTAAAGTGTTCACTGCCTCTTGTAGGGCCAGACTCGAAGTTTGAATGTTGGTGACTCTGTAGAAAGGAAAAAAAAAAATGTATAGATAGAATAACCACGTGATCAAGCTAAAATTTCTTTTTAATGCATGCTACAAACCACAGCAAAAAAGGAACACTCAAACAGAAATAAAATGAAATAAAAAAAAAGCCCAAAACGTTCTTCCATCAAATGACCAGTTATGTTAATTTCCTTTATCAAAGTTCCAGGTATAAATGGGGTTTGGTGCCCCAACCAGATTCTTACATCGTTTGTCATCATCCTGCACCAAGATTATGAAGCTGTAATTCCTGCTTTCTCTGTACTTTCTACTGTTCTCTTCCTAATATAAAACAGACCTCCTCATAATGGTTATAGGCCTGGAACCACAAGAGAAACGCTTACCAGGGTCCTCGAGATACAAGAAACAGGTAGGTGGCTTATCTACACTGCATGTGGGAAAAATATCAAATATCAGGTGACTAATCCTCATGTATTATCCAACTGTGAAAAAAATGTACATTTACACATCATACTATGAAGTTTCTTTTAACACAGTAAGACAAATTTGGAAAGATTCTTAATTCGCAAAGCTTTAACACAAGGATAGGGAACTTTATTTTATCCATATATCTTGTAGGTCCCACCTCACGTGCACACACATCTTTAATACCATCTTTCTTTTCCCTTTGGGATTTTCTTTTCTTTTTGTTTTTTGATGCGTCACTTTTTATATATATTTGTTCTGCTGTTTCGATATAATTTGGTCTGACTGTGTATTTCTTTTGTGATTTTTCTGTGATTTTTTTGTACTTTATCCCAAGTAGACATTCGTTTTTTGTATATATTATTATTTAAATTTTGATAATTTACAAACTTGGCTTCTTAGCCCATATCTTCTTGAGATATTTACTTGCTTTTATCTGTGTTTAGGTATGTTATTTAATTTTACTTTTCATTTATAATTTTTCAGAATTATTTTTATCCATTATTCTATTTCTCTTTCTTGGTTTCTCTTTTTATTCATGTTTCATTTTACTTTTCATTTATAATTATTTCAGAATTATTTTTATCCATTATTCTATTTCTCTTTCTTGGTTTCTCTTTTTATTCATGTTTCATTTTACTTTTCATTTATAATTATTTCATAATTATTTTTATCCATTATTCTATTTCTCTTTCTTGGTTTCTCTTTTTATTCATGTTTCATTTTACTTTTCATGTATAATTATTTCATATTTCAAAATAAATAAAAAGAGAAACAAAGAAAGAGAAAAAGAATAATGGATAAAAATAATTATGAAATAATTATAAATGAATCATTTACTTCCTGGAATCCATCTAACCTTAGCTCAGGCATTTGCTGAGCTGAGAACCCTCCCTCCCCTCCTGAAGACTCCTAGGATGTATGAGATCATTTGCCTAGGCATGGAAACTCGGGAAGTAACCGATGAGATGTTTTTTATATTTTTTTTCTGCTGTTTTGATATAATTTAGTCTGAATATGTATGTTTTTTTTTGTGATTTTTCTGTGATTTTTTTTTATTTTTTTTGTATTTTATCCCAAGTAGACATTTGTTTTTTGTATATATTATTATTTAAATTTTGATTATTTACAAACGTGGCTTCTTAGCCCATATCTTCTTGGGATATTTACTCGCTTTTATCTGTGTTTGTGTATGTTATTTCATTTTACTTTTCATTTATAATTATTTTTATCCATTATTCTTTTTCTCTTTCTTTGTTTCTCTTTTTATTTATTTTGAAATATGAAATAATTATACATGAAAAGTAAAATGAAACATGAATAAAAAGAGAAACAAAGAAAGAGAAATAGAATAATGGATAAAAATAATTATGAAATAATTATAAATGAAAAGTAAAATGAAATAACATACACAAACACAGATAAAAGCGAGTAAATATCTTAAGAAGATATGGGCTAAGAAGCCACGTTTGTAAATAATCAAAATTTAAATAATAATATATACAAAAAACAAATGTCTACTTGGGATAAAATACAAAAAAAATAAAAAAAATCACAGAAAAATCACAAAAAAAACATACATATTCAGACTAAATTATATCAAAACAGCAGAAAAAATATATATAAAAAACATCTCATCGGTTACTTCCTGGTTTCCATGCCTAGGCAAATGATGTCATACATCCTAGGAGTCTTCAGGAGGGGAGGGTGGGTTCTCAGCTCAGCAAATGCCTGAGCTAAGGTTAGATGGATTCCAGGAAGTAAATGATTCATTTATAATTATTTCATAATTATTTTTATCCATTATTCTTTTTCTCTTTCTTTGTTTCTCTTTTTATACGTTTCATTTTACTTTTCATTTATAATTATTTCATATTTCAAAATGAATAAAAAGAAAAACAAAGAAAGAGAAAAAGAAAAAGAATAATGGATAAAAATAATTATGAAATAATAATAAATGAAAAGTAAAATGAAATAACATACACAAACACAGATAAAAGCGAGTAAATATCCCAAGAAGAAATGGGCTAAGAAGCCACGTTTGTAAATAATCAAAATTTAAATAATAATATATACAAAAAACAAATGTCTACTTGGGAGAAAATACAAAAAAAAATAAAAAAAAATCACAGAAAAATCACAAAAAACCATACATATTCAGACCAAATTATATCAAAACAGCAGAAAAAATATATATAAAAAAACATCTCATCGGTAACTTCCCGGTTTCCATGCCTAGGCAAGTGATGTCATACATCCTAGGAGTGTTCAGGAGGGGAGGGAGGGTTCTCAGCTCAACAAATGCCTGAGCTAAGGTTAGATGGATTCCAGGAAGTAAATGATTCATTTATAATTATTTCATAATTATTTTTATCCATTATTCTTTTTTCTCTTTCTTTGTTTCTTTTTTTATTCATGTTTCATTTTACTTTTCATTTATAATTAGTTCATAATTATTTTTATCCATTATTCTTTTTCTCTCTTTCTTTGTTTCTCTTTTTATTCATTTTTAATTTTACTTTTCATTTATAATCATTTCATAATTATTTTTATCCATTATTCTTTTTCTCTTTCTTTGTTTTTCTTTTTATTCCACTTCGCTTTCCTTTTCCTCCTTTCTTGTTCTCTGAGATCACTGTTTTTGATAAAATAGTTTTATATGTTTTGTTACAATGCATTAGTAGGCGTAGCCTCAGGATTCAGGAGTGCTGATTAGGACAGGTGTATTCTTCCCCCATCCTCTGGAACTCTCTACCCCAATTTATCAGGCTATCGCCTACTCTGCTCACATTTAGGCGATCTCTGAAAACCTCTCTCTTCAGGGAAGCCTATCCTACCCTCAGCTAATAATGGAATCTTTTATTCCTCCTACCAGTCCATCCCCCACAGTTACTACCTTTTGTACCACTAGCCCCTCCCTCTTAGATTGGAAGCTCCCAGGATCAGACCCTCCTATCCCTCTTGTATTGAACTGTATTGTTGCTGTATTGTCTCCTGTTATATTGTAAAGTGCTGAGCAAACTGTTGGCG